ATACACACACACACACATTAACATTAGAGTTCCAAAATTGCTCATTCTCATTATTAATTTTTAACATTTTAATGTCATTTTTCATGAATTGTATGTAATGTAATGTTATATTGTGTTATGTGTGTTAAAATTAAAGTTAATCAGATTGTTTTATCACAAATGACTCACTTTGCAGTTTCAGTGGCTCATTTTACCTGAAAACTGATTATCTCAAAAATGTGGGACAGCTGATGTTTCAAAAGCTGGAAGACCTAAACGATTCTATTTTATTACATCAATTCAACACAAAAATATTAAAAACAGTCCTTATTAACTATAAAAACACAATCCAGTGTCATATATTGCTTTCTCTTAGTTTCCTAAGCAATTAACCAAAAAGTGGCTCAATTTAGCTGATATCACCCTAAGTGACTTTATTCAGACTAGTTCAAATTAAAAGTTCTTTATTATTTTTATTATTTTATTCACTTTTTACATTCCACACAGTTTGATCTGAATTGATTGTTTTATAATTATTGATTCATTCACGTGTTAGAATTATTATTATTGATTATATTTAATATGATTGATCTGTGGAGGAATAAAGTTATTAAATAAACTGTTTATGAAGTTAAAAGACAGAAAGTGGCTCCGGGTCCGGATCTGGGTCCGGCTCCGGGTCGTGAGGAGGACGAGACTCCGGAAAACACGACTCCTGCGGGGGGAGGGAGAGGGCGGTCCCTGCAGGTTTCTGGGGGTCTCTGGGGGGCTGCTTCCTGGGACCTGGTCTGTCTGCTGTTAATGGGGCTGTCTTTATTGATGGCGTCACCATGGAAACGACGCATCACGAGACGCGGAGAGGGACGCGGGTCGGTATAAAAGAGACCGACACTGAAGCTCCGGACCCCCGTCAGAGCTGAACCCGGACCCGGTCTGCACAGTCCTCCACTGCCTGCACGAGACATGCTGCACCTCAACACCTGGACCAGGTACCGGACTACAGGACGTCCTGTTATTAGTCTTCAGATAGAGTCTTAATAATCAATAATCAGTCAATGATCCGATTATTAGTGTTATTATTATGTAATTATATATGTCTGTCTGTCTGTCTGTCTGTCTCACTGTCTGTCTGTCTGTCTGTCTGTCTGTCTCACTGTCTGTCTGTCTGTGTGTCTGTCTCACTGTCTGTGTGTCTGTCTGTCTGTCTGTCTGTCTCACTGTCTGTCTCACTGTCTGTCTGTCTGTGTATCTGTCTGTCTGTGTGTCTGTGTGTCTGTCTCACTGTCTGTCTGTCTGTCTCACTGTCTGTCTGTCTGTCTGTCTCACTGTCTGTCTCACTGTCTCACTGACTCTCTGTCTCACTGCAGTAATCCAGATCAATGCATCCTGATGCGATCAGCTCCCGGTGAGTTCAATGACTGTACGGAGTCCCAAGTGTGTCGACACAATAGTGAGTTTGTTTATAAAATTATATTTAATAGATTAATAGATTTTAGAGAAAAACACTGATTTAGGAGTCCTCCAGAGAACTGACCCCCGTCCCCTCCCTCGTCCCCCCTCAGGTTCTCGTCCCCGGGTCGTCCGTCGGGTCTCCACCAACAGTCGGGAACGCTGGCGGCAGCAGAACGTTAACGGAGCTTTCGCCGAGCTGCGGCGTCTCATCCCAACGCACCCCCCCGACAGGAAGCTCAGCAAGAACGAGATCCTGCGCCTGGCTCTCAGGTACATCAACTTCCTGGACCGGCTGGCGATGGACCAGGGCCCTGGGGGGGCCCCCCGGGGCCGAGCGGGGAGCGTGGAGCTGGAGGACGGTCTGCAGGGGGCGATGTCACCAAACTCCAGCTGTGAGAGTTCAGTGGACTCTCTGATGGAGGAGCAGGACTGTGGAGGTCTGCAGGTCCTCCACCTCACACCTACATACATCTGACAGGCTGGATCCAGCAGAGACCAGCAGGACGAGTCCAGTCAGACTGATCCAGGTTGTCAACCTGCAGTATGCTCCTTTAAAACCACATATTGTTGTAGGGGACTGAGAGGTCATGTGATATTCACATTATCAGTATTAATATTATCATTAATGAATTATTAGATTGTGTTTTATAGTCAACTCATGCTCTGTTTTCTGCCAGAGAAGAAGAAGTTGTGATTGTTGTATTTTCTGCCAGAGAAGAAGAAGTTGAGTTTCTTTAAAGGAAACTTTGGTGCTTTTATTCTTTAACTCTCGTATTAAAAACAGATTATTTTTATCTGTAATGTTCAAATGTTTCTGTGAGAATAAATAAAAATGAAAGTTATTGATCATTAACTAACGATGCAGTGATTTATTTTAAATATGAATCTATAATAACTGACCCTATTTTAGATATGCTATATGCTAAGCTAATCTATGATGAGAAGACAACCACATTCTGAAGATGGTTAAAAGATAAAAGAGACATTTATAAAGTCACATCTTAACTTAGCTAATGTTAGAAAAACACTAGTTTACTAATCTACAACAGTTGTTAGCTTCCATTTAGCTAACATTAGCTATCAGAGGTAACTAACCAGCTAATGATTAATGAATATATTCTTTATTTACATCATTAGTTATATATATTAATCCAATAATATCATATATAATATATTCTTTATAATATAGATAGAGATAATATTTTCTTTCTCTTAAAAATAAATATTTGAATGCAGGACTTTTACTAACAGAGTATTTCTGCACTGCAGTATTACTATATATATATTTATATAGATAGATAGATAGAT